TCAAGTCACTAATTAAGAAAGGCTTGCCTGCAGCCTGATTGTATGGAGGCATTTTTTTTCAACTGAGATTCCCTCCCTTCGGATGACTTTAGCTTGTGTCAAGTTGATAAAAGAAAACTAGCCAGCACAGTGATATTGACAGCGCATAAAAAGTCAGTGCTTATTAAGTATGTAAGATGCTGAGCGAATGCTAGATGGTAACAATATTCTTAAAATGAAAGAGATCTTCACTCTTTGACTGGGCACAGAGATCTGACAGAGGAGTGAATGGAGAAACAGACAGACAGGCAGACAGACCAGGGGATGAAACTTTTGGCTCAAATCGAGTCTATTTGAGTTATGTAGCTAACAGTGTGGTGTGTTATGCTGTCTCAACTGTATATATTCTCCAAGGATGAAAAACTTTGTTCTCTATATCTTCCTGCCCTCCTGCTCCACTGAGTGAGGTATACAGATTTGGACAGGTAGCTGGCTGGCTGTTTGCTAGACTGATGGCTGTCTAGAAGGAACACACTGTTTGCATGTTTCAGGCTTTCATTCGAATAACCAGCAGAGGGCGCACACACTCCTAAAAACCCCGTGAGCCCCCTTTCTCCTGACTGTGTGCTCCGCTCACGTGCAGCTTTCTCCTTCACCTGGGAGCAAACACCAAACCTCTCCCTGAATTTGAAAAGAATTCAGGCACTTAAGTTCTGAACCCGTGGAGTCCGCTGAACACATTAAGCAGCCCTGGCCGGGTTGGGGTGCTGGCTTGCACCGTCCGTGCCTCTGTTTCACCAATAGCGGAGAAGAATTTCATGGACTTCTCAGAAGCTGACTTCAGAAGGGCTCTGGGGTCAGTTTTATAAAAAACATGTTTAAAAAAAAAAAAAGAGTTTCTCAAACCAAGTAAGGAAATATCCAGACCTGCCCACGTTTACAAATTATCGTCGTTATTACAGAGCACTCAGAAGCAACGGATATAAAAACAGTGCAAAGAAATCCTGTGTGATAGGCATTGTCACCAGACGCCAGCGACTGCCACTGTGCTCTTCTTATCTCTTCCGTCTTCCCTCTTCCGAGGGCTGTGGGTAGAGTGGGGGAAGCTACAGTTATTTTCACTTGCTTATTTTTACAGTTGAATCTTTTTTTTTTTTTTTTTAAACAAGGATCACATTTCGGTAGGAGTTTTAGGATGTGTTTAAGGCTTGTGGAGAACAGGAAGCCAGGCTGCTGGAGGAGATGTTCTCTGCTTTGATTATCCGTGGATCTCCACGTTCTTTTGGAAAATTCCACTGGGAAGATAAGGGCAGAGAAATGAACCGAGAGGTCTGCTGGCACCAGACCTTTTGCCTTCCGCTGGGGAGGTGTGCCCTGGGGCTTGGCTTCCACAGGGGAGGTGTGCCCTGGGGCTTGGCTTCCACAGGGGAGGTGTGCCCCGGGGGCTTGGCTTTCATCAGGAGGGGAGCACAGGGAAGGGCTTAGCCATGGAGAGGCAGGAACTGCAGGGCCTGGGATCTACCATCCACCAGGTTGTGCTGCACCAGGATGCTTGATTTGCACAGGGAAGGCACACACTGGAGGCTTGGTTTCCATGGCTCCTGGTAGAACACAGGTACATATGTGCCTCAGCATACATCTACGCTTTGGGGAGTCACAAAATGTGCCCCTAATGGGGAAACATCATATTCGTTACAACTGGGAGCAGGAGCCGTAGCTTTGTTGCCTGTTATTTTAAAACCTTGCTCTCATGTGGCACAGCCAGGAAGCAGAAAGCTCCAGGCGCTCTGGAGGATGTTCATACGCCTACCTTGCTTTTTAGCACTTTCTGCTTCAATTTCCCCCCTTCCTGTTAGCACAAAAATTCCATTAAAGTAATTGAAGTGAGACAAGTTCAAGGCTACCAACTAGGTTATGGATCTGTGAGAAAAACACTGCACTTTGGAAAGAACGGGTAACAAGCGGGGCTTTACGAATCTGACAGCTCGAGGACCGCGCTGTTCATTCCTCGTGACGCCACACAGGGGAGTCCCCGCAGCAGGGAAAGGGGCAGAAGGGCTCTCGTAGAGCTTGCTGAGTAATGCTTACAGGAATACAGGCACGTAGGCCTCAGCATAAGACGTCTTAGAATGTCTCATTAGTTAGAGTTCCAAGCAGGGGCAGGAAGGACAGGGTCAGCAGGTGTCGCCAGCATCCCCACGTCCCCCAACAGAGCCTGTGTGTACTTGGGGAAGCAGAAATGGCTGGAGAGAGGGTCCTGTGGCCACCCTGTGAAGCCACACTGTCATACGTGAGTTTTGTCGCGCAATGGCTTCCTAGTCTTCACCATGGCGTGTCTGTGGCAGGTGCTAAGGAAAGCCAGTGTGGTGGGGACGGTGAGCAGCGGGGACAGTCCACTTGAGGCCTCTTTCAGTCTCCTCTGCCTTGTATAAGGTGGCTGCAAATGCTTAGGGCTCTCAAGACAGACAGGTTTGCTGCGAGGACAGGTGCAGTTAACGGCGGGGCCCAAATGATAGGCTCCTGAGGTTAAATGGTCCTGAAGGAAAATATGCAAAACCCCGGGCGGGGGTGGGGACCCATGCCACTTATCCTTGAGAGAGATCCAACACATACGACCCTGGCAAGAGACCCAACCTCAGACAAACGAGTCTTAAAAGGATTCCAGGAAATGCACCTGGGGTCAGGGTGTGAACCACCACTCTGAGACAATGTTGGGTTCCCACTGACTTCCACCACGGGGGTGGCAGGGAGGTGACAAGCCAGCTCCCTCTGTTGCTCTCTTGGGCTGCAGAACAAGGGAGCATGACTTCCCATCCCCCCCTCCCACCCCTTCTGTCAGAGAAAACAGCAGAGATGGCAGCATCTCCCTCGGCCAGTGTCCTGGCCTGGTGCTATGAAACCTCACTATTGAGGTAACGGGAACTGGAAGCCAGGACCACGGGACCATCTAGGCAGGGACAGTAACCAGACATGTCCCCACAGAAGCGAAGGGTGAGGAAGAGGACACCGTGGAACTCCAAGCTTGGAACACTGGTTTGTGTGATTGCTCTGCAGGAGTTTCTGCATACTTCCTAAGCATGATGGTGGCTGTGAGGTGGTGCGCGGGGTGTGGGGGGGCCCTGCCTGATCAGAAGTGGCTGCTAAGGACCAGGAGGCCAGCCTGTGTGGCACATCACCTGGACACTGGAGTCCTGGACCAGGCAGAGCTGTTCCTGGATCTTGTGGAGCTCCTCCTGCTGCCACCGGATGTTGGCCTGCAGGACCCGCGTCCTCTGCTCCAGCTGGTCTTTAATGGTCTGGAACATGCTGAACTGTGCTGAAAACTTCAAAAGAAAGTTAAAAAGATAAAAAAAACCCATAAATCAAAGACTTATTTCAGCCTGAGCCCACCCTTGCCACCATTTTTGATCAGTCTTAGCAACTCTTTCTGTCACTCTGCTGTTGTTCCCAGCAGTTCTGAAAAGCCACTGTTTGGCTCTGAGTTGAGCAGGGGCTAGTGACAAGGTGTCTAGCCAACCTTGTGCTAATGATGACAGCCCCTCTGTGGTCCTAAATTTGATCTTAGTGCTCTCCTGTAGGGCCTGGATCCGTTGAGGCCTTCTCTCCAGCTCAGCCTTCCTCCCTCGCTCACTGTCTGATTCACAGGCTCGCACGGGATAGAACCGTCCATTCTGTTTTGCCTAGGACAGCCTGCTTTCAGCCTCTGAATCCCTTCCTGGAACTGAGGTTGGCTTTAGAAACTCTGTCCGCTCACACGTCTTCTTCCTAGACCAAGACGCTTTCTTTGCTGGACATCAAAAGAGAGGTGCAGGGGTGACCTTCCTTCAACAGAGTCCCTGCTCTGGGCTTGCTTTCTCCTTTCTTTTCTCTTTCTTTCCCTTTCCTCCCTTTCCCTGTCCTCTCTCCCTCCTCCTTTTTGACAGAGGGTCTTGCTATGTAGCCTAGACTGGTTTGAACTCACTGTCCCAGTCTCCGAGTATTGGGATTACAAATGTAAGCCACCACACCCACCTTCCTTCTCCACCTCTGTCTTTCCCTCTCTTTCCCCCTTTCTCCTCCTCCTCCTCTCCTTTTCTTTCTTTTTTTTTTTTTAATTTACAGCTACTTCCTCTTTATTTCCTCAACCTCAACCCCTCCATCTTCCTGCTCTGTTTCTCATCCACTGTTTGTAAATGCCCATGGAATCTGTCCTTATTCTACTCTGGCCTTTGACTCCTCCTACATGACAAAGCAAGGAGGGCAGCGGAGCTGAGAACGCAGACAGGGTCTACTAGAAGATGCAAGGACCCACCGCTTTGGAGCTGCTCAACAATAGGAAACAGAGGCTGGGAGTGTGGTCCAGTCGGAGAGCGTGCGCCTAGCAAGCGCAAGGCCCTGGGCTCAGTCCTCAGTACCGGCCAAAAATAGAGGCGGTAGGCCATTATCACTGATGCCATCATCATTGTCACTGTTGGCAGAGGGCCAGAGACGCACCAGCCACACACACTCTGCCCAGGCAAGCAGACATGGCAACAGCCCACTTCTTTACAAGTTCAAATTTCATTTCTTTACCAGAAACCCAGGCTGTGCTGACCAGAGGTCAGAGAGCTACCTGAGTGCGGGGACAAACTGGACCTGAGCCTGGGTGAAGCTATGAGGGGTGCCAGCTCCTCTCGCACCTCCAGGCCCAGCTCAGTGACAGGGGCCTTGGCATCAGACTTCATCAAGCAGAACGTCAGGCTCCTCAGCAATTTAGCCGTGGATGCTCTAGGCTAGCCTGCCCCACACAAACCCCTGCTGTGATGTAACGCATCAGAGCGGGTAGCTGGGACTCTGACAGAAGATTCCACCGGGGAAGAGACAAGCCACATCGGTATTCAATTTAAAAACAAGACAGTGCTCCTGTGGTGGGTGTTATAAGGTCTGGAAATGTCGGGGCCTCATGGTAAAGCCTACAGGAGCCATCAGCAGCAACGTGCGTGCCTGTGGTGGTGCTGGGATGGAGTCCAGGGCTTTGCACACCCTAGCTGTTCTATCATCAAGCTGTCCCACGGCACTCACAACACCCCTTTTGATAAATGAGTCTAACATGGTTATGAAAGAAAAAGGGGCTTTTGATAAAATTACCAGTTACTCAGAGGAGTACATCCAAGGATTTGGGATTTGGCCTCACCACAGGCCAAGGCAGTTCTGAAACAGGTAAGGGAGCGGAAAGGAAATCACAGAGTCTCACCCTTTCCCACTTGAAGAAGCTGGAAAGAACGTGGAAACTCAGCTAGTGTGGCTCCGCCAACCTCCGTCAAAGCACGGTTAATGTGTCTGCCCTGAGCATGTAGTCAAGGGTGGGCTCGCCTCCAGTGTCTCACACGGCTGCAGCAGCTGTTTGTAGGGCCCCAGACTAAGTGCTCACTAGAGGGGCCTGTGAGGTATGGGGAGGGAGCGTGTGCTCATGCTCTGTGAAAACACCGGGGCCTGAGCATCTGTTGGGAGATGCTGGGCCTGGTCTGCCCGTTTCCCATGAGAATGGCTTAACAAATACGGTAGCTGGAGCCGGAGAGATGGCGCAGCGTTAAGAGCGCTTGCTGCTCTTGCAGAGGACCCTGGTTCAGTTCCCAGCAGCCACATGGCAGCTCTCAACCATCTCTAACTTCACCTCCAGGAGATCTGACCCTCTCTGGCTTCTTTAGGCATTTACATGCACATGGTACACACACACACAGACACACACACATTTTAAAAAATGCAGTTATCATGTATAGAGCACACCACAGACCAAGAAAAGTTACTATTAAGTAAATTTCAAGGCCTGAAAAAAAATTAGAACTCCTAAAAGGAGTAGGATGAGGTATAAAACATACATTATTTTTTTCTTCGAGCTGCAAGGCCCAGAAGTGAAAGGAAATCTCATTTCTTATGTCTTTGGATTGAAACAAATCACTAATTTCATACCAAATGTGTCTCAGGAACTTGAAAAGGAAAAACACCATTCTGATTTTTCTCCCCCATGAGGATAAAGATGGGCTGTTTTAATTGGGAGACTGGCTGAACAGCTTTGATGTCACTGCTCAAGCCAGACGCTAGCAAGAAGCATATGCTAGCACACGTCTTTCTTGTTCCAGGAACGCATCTGAGGCCACTTCTACGAGGGCATATGTTCTCAAATGTTCCCATCAGCCATCTCAGATCTGCACAGAGATGCAGCCAAACGCCAGGAGACTGAGGTGCTGATGAACGGCCATCCAGGAGCCAGGTGAACCTGGGGCCAGGTTGGGACAATGCCCAATGCCTAGCGCTCTAAAGGAACTGGAATCAGAGCTGCGGGTACAACTGCAGAAACAAGTGAATCTGTGCAACGCATACCCCACCACCAGGTGGACAGCCCCCCCCCTCACCTTGTCCTGCGCCAGGCAAGTGAGCTGTTCCACAGCTCCC